GAAACGCCCGGGTCACCCGCAGGGGCGCGAAGGCAAACTCGGGCCGGACGAAAGGGGGGGATTGGGAAAAGGGGGGGTTACGAAATTTGCTGCATGCAGCTGGTTTCGGCCCCGCCGCCGGGCCCATTCCTCGATACATGGCCGCCTCTGGCGCCAGGAGGCGCCGGGAAAACCAGCTACGTGAGCTGATTCTCAAACCCCCTCTTTGCTATCCCCCCCATTCGCCCGGCCCGACAACCGCTCGGCGGGGACGTCGAACGCTGGGTCACCCGCGGGGGCGCGAAGGCGAACGACCGGCGGCGAGCGAGGGGGGTGGAAGTGCGACGGAGGAGGCCTTCTCGGAAGGCGGCGGGACTCCTGAGAAGCCCTCGCGGCTTCAGAGATTTTCTGCGTCTTCGGGGAAGGCTCAGAGCACTTCCCAGAAGGTTCGAGAACTTCCGAGCCTTCGGAGGATCGGAGGCCTAGAGGTTGACACCAACACCAATATCGGCGACGTGCCTCCACCGAGGGAAGATGATCCCGATCTCGATGATGGTGATAATATTCGGGCTCCCGATGTGGCTCAAATATTACCACCACCAACATCTAGGATTACCTTCCCCTGGTGGAGGCAATCCTCGGTGTTGGTGTCTAAACATCCAAGAGGAGGCCTTCTCAGAAGGCGGCGGGACCCCTCAGAAGCCCTCGGGCCTTCTCAGAGCTTTGCTGTGTCTTCCCAGAAGGCTCAGAACATTTCCCAGAGGGCCCGAGAACTTCCGAGCCTTCTGAGAAGGCCCCAGAGTCTCCGCCGAAAAGCAGAATTCGAGCTCGCGGGCCTTCGTCAGAAATGTATGCAGGAATCGCGCTCTTGCGTGGTATCTTTCCTCAGGATTTCTTCTGGCGCGGTGCCCCCCCCAAAAAAACTCAGGGATCACGCTCTCGCGCTGGAGTTCCTTTCGATTTTCTTGGGAGTCGCGCTATCGCTCGAAACTTCACCCGGGTCGAACGCACGTCGATCCCGCTGGGCGCCGTCGAGGCCGGGCGCTTGGCGCGTCGCGGCCGGGGTCGCGAAGGTCACCGCCCACCAGACCACCGCAACCCAACCCGAAGGCCCCAATTTGCGCAGGCATCCGGGAGCATTGAAGAATCACATCGTGCCACCCTCGACCCGAGGTTTGGGTCTTCGGGTTGGGGTTGGGGGGAGACTACAGGAAGAGGAAGAGGAAGAGGAGGAGGAGGAGGAGTAGGAGGAGGAGGAGGAGGAGGAGGAGGAGGAGGAGGAGGAGGAGGGGGAGGAGGACGAGGAGGAGGAGGAGGAGGAGGAGGTGGTCTGGTAGGCAGTCAGAAGGTGCCCTTCTCCAGGGCGATTGGCGCGAGGGGCGCGAGGGTTGCCGCGCATCACCAGGGCGCGAGGCGTGCGAGACGGGGTGGGCCGGGAGCGCCGGCCGCCATCGCGTCGGACGCCGCCGTGGCCTTCGCCGAGCGTCGAGCGGTGAGCGTCGTCGTCGTCATCGTCGTCGGCGTCGTCGTCGTCGTCGTCGTCGTCGTCCGCGGTACAGGAGCTCCAGTGGAATGCGAGGTCTGTGGCGAGGTCTGTGGTGAGGCATGCCACGATATCCGTGGTGAGCCAGATCTTCGGCGAGGGCGTAGGTTTGGAGTTGCTGGCGGACGAGGGGCCTCATGGCAAAGCCAATGGTGACACCTCCGACTCCGATGCTGCAGACGTTTTTCCTGCACTCCGTAAGACCTGGCACGGAGCCTCTTCCCGTCCATCGTTGAGGGAGTCCTTCACGACAATGGCCGGCATTGACCGATGCCGGACGTGCCACACCGCGCCGTCGGCTACCCCGAGCCGGCATCGCTCTTTCGCCCAGTCTTTCTTGAATAAGGCCCGCACAATCCCCAACTTGGAGGCGCAGCCGCCGCGCAGCTCCGTCGACACGGGCTCGCGCAGGGCCAGCACGGTCCTGCTCGAGGGCATGCGGAAGACCAGCTCCAGCGGCTTCGCTCAAGGGATGAAAAACCACCCTGACCAGACAATTGGCGTTTACTAAACGACCCTGGGCGTTTACTGAACAGCCCCGCCCCGTTTGATTCCTTCTTTGGGTGCGTTTGCTAAACTGCTTCGCGTGTCGGGGTGGCTATTCTCGGGGGGGATTTTCTGCCCTCTGTTCGCCGGAGGCTTCCTTACCCGGCGGAGGAGCAGCCGCAGCCTGCACTGCGGCGACGAGGACGACGATGACGCGACCTCTTGGCCTCTGCTGCCCCAGCCGACGATGCTCGGCATGCCGCTCAGGGCGGACCGCTCGGCCGGCAGCGTGGTCTCCAAGCTGTTCGGCCTGATGAGCCGCCTGCAGTTCGAGAAGCCCTCGACGGCCAGCGGCGAGGGGAGGTCGTCACCATCCATCAAGCCACCCAAACCCAACCCGAAGGCCTCAATTTGCCCTCCATTTCCAGTGGGGGGGGGGTCGGGGAACATCGAGAAAACACATATGGAACCCGTACTTCCCCCCCCAACCCGAGATTCGGGTCTTCGTGTTGGGTTGGGGTGGTCTGGTAGGTAGTCAGGTCGGTCAGGTCGCCGATGCGCCACGTCCGTTCCGAGCCCTGCGATGACAGCTTCACCCCGAAACCCTCGGATGCGCCAGCGCCGCGTTCGGGGCGAGTGGCCCGGGTGGAGTCGGAGCAGTCTCGGCCAGGGCGGCCGTCTCTGGAGATGGAGCAGCTGGAGACGGGCGTGGACCTGGAGGACGCGCTGGCACCGTTCTCGGACCAGGCGGCCGCGTCCATGGAGCAGCTCGCAGCCGACCTAGGGCAGCAGGTCTGCGTCTGCATCGTTGGCGGACTTGGCCAGCTCCAGGACAGCAAATCCACGGCCCTGGTGAGGGCGCTGGCCAAGGAGCTCTCCGAGGGGTTGGGGTCGCAAGTGTGTTTCATGACGTGCGGGCTCCAGCACAAAGTACCGTACCTTTTTGCAGAAGGTTGCGCAGATGGCGTCAAGTTGTGGAATCTGGTCCCTGCCCAGCACAAGCGCTACGACGTGCCCGTCGCCACCAACGTGAACGCGGGCGACGACGAGGCACAGTGCCTAGAGGTTTTCTCGGAGCTGGGGGACGTGTACCTGACCGTAGAGGGAGGGCAGAGCGTGGCCGACCTGGCGCGGAAGGTCCACAAGCGTGGCGCGCTGGTGATCCCGCTGATCCGGAGTGGCCGCGCCAGCGCTGGCGAGCTCGGGTTTCCAGGAGCTGCCCTGGAGCGGCCGTCGGTCGCCACGGAGGCGCAGTGGGAGCTGCTGGCGAGCAGCGACGTGGACGTCATGCTCTCCGCAGCCGCCGTGGGGTCCATCATCGCCAGGCTCTTGGAGATCCGCCAGCTGAGGCGCCTCGAGGAGGAGTGGCTGCGCAACGAGGCGGAGAGGGTGCGCCAGGAGGCGGAGTACTCGAGCAGCCTGCCCTCCTCGTGCAAGCCGTCGGCGCTGGCCGTGGCCGCGCTCGTGCAAGAGACGGGGGCCGCGAAGACCGGCCGCCGTGCCTCCGCGGGGGCGCCGGCGCTGGGGAGCGCGGGCGGCGCGCGGCGGCACACGCTGGCGCACGCTGGCAGCTCCAAGGCGGTGGGCAGCCCCGGCGCCTGGCTGGGCGAGGGCGGCGCCCCCGCCGCGCCGGCGCCCATCCCCGAGGCAGCACCAGAGGCGGCGGCGGCGGCGGCTGCAGCGCCGGCGGCCACGCCCTCGGACGCTGCCGCCGGGGAGCCAGCCGCGCGGCCCCAGGGGCAGGCGCTGCAGCAGCAGGGCGCCGGGCCCGGGGCCGCGTGGCCAGCGGAGGCCGCGCGCGTGCGCCAGGGGAGGAGCTCGAGGGGAGCGCGGCAGGCGAGGCAGGGCGGCCGCCGCAAGCAGCAGGCGCCGCGGGACGAGGTGACCATCGTCGAGCACCACGTCTACCATCGCCACGTCTACGGGCCAGGTGGCGAGGAGTCAGGGCCAACGATAGGAGGGGATAGGCATAAAGGGGGGGGGGGATGCGTCGGCCCCGAATCGCCCATTGACGGCCGATGGGGGCCCGATGGCCCCAACCTGCCCAGGAACGCGCGGGGCCTCATGATCGCCGATCTGTCGCCGATTCCAGGCAGATGTTTCCGCCCCTTCTGCCAGTGACCCCCATACCGTTGCCCCCCTCAAGGAGCTGGCCTGCAACGTGGAGGTGGTCCGCCACCTCCGAAACGCTTCCAGCGCCGACCTGGCTCTGCAGGCGCCCGCCGAGGCGGAGGCCGCGGGCGGGCAGCCCGGAGAGCCCGCGGCGGCCGAGCCACCCGTGCGCTCGCTGGGCCAGTCCCAGTCTTTGCCCGCGCTGCCACAGGTCACCGAGCGCCTTCCACTGCTCGCAAAGTGCCTGCTCGCAAACGTCCGAAAAGCACATGCCTGCATCGATGTGATGTACAGGCGGCCCGGATTAGTAGGTCGACCCTGCCAGATCAAGGGTACCCTCGTGTCTGGTGTCTCGCGACCCATGCCTCCTGCATTTCTGTAGCAACGTGGCCCTCGGAAGGGTCTTGTGTCCTCTCGCGTGTCCTCTCCGATACAGTCCGACTGTACAGTGGGGGCCCATGCCAAGAAGCATCCTGCTTGCCTCCAGGGTGCCCTGGGCTTCTTGGGTTCAAGTGGTTTTGCGGTGGAAGGCGTGGCGCTCCCACGCCGCAAATCAATGGACGTCCTGGGGTCTCAGGGTTGGGTGTCCTGTGGAAGGTTTCTTGTGGAGTGGCCTCCACTGTATGGTAAATCCTCCATGGCGGATCCAGGCCATTTGCGATCAGTTGTTTTGCGAGTAGTGGAACGCGCTTGTCTAACAGGGGCGCGCGCCGACACACACGCACAAGAAGGCACGTGGGCGGTGAACAGATCCACCAAGAAGCCGTTTGCTCTTCGTCCGGGCACCCAGGGGTTCTGCGCTCCTCGGGTTGCGCGGTGGCTGTCCGCGGTCGTGGAAGGAGCTGCTGCGTTCAGGGTGCGTTGGGTTCCCCCCCCCCCCGCTTGCATCTCGCGCTTGCGGTTTTTCAAGGCTGGGCTTCTTGCGGGAGCTTTCTTGCGACCACGTCCGCACTGTATCCGCGGCCAGGCCCCCTGGGCCGCGACCCCATGCACACGATGCACACGGGGCGTGTTCTCGCGGATGCGGCGCGCAGAACGTATTCGTGCGACCGCGTACACGGGATCGCCCGTGCCGGAATCGAGGCAGGGAAGGCGTGGACGTGGATGTGGATATGTTCGCCGCTCGCGAGAGGCGGCCGCCCGCGGACGGGCGGGGCAGAGCAGCACGCCGCAGCTGCCTGCGCTGTAGCGCCCGTGCCTGGAGGGAGAGGAAGCGGCACAAGCAGACGCGGCAGGTTCGTGCTGTACAGACGCGGCAGCGACCTTGCCGCGGGCGTTCAATGTTGAGCCCCGCCAGTGGCCTATAATGAAGTCGGGCGTGTTCTTCTACAGAAGGAATATGAAAAAATAGTCAAAAGTAGTCTGGGGACAATTTTTTCACCATTTTGGGGCATTTGTGTATTTTTTTGGGGACTGTGTTTTATTTTGCTTCCAAAATCCGCCTGTAGGGGGGCACGCCCGACCTAAGCCTAGAATCAGCCAGTACGGAACGATTCGGAGATCGAAAAGCTGCCGATCTTTCGAAGGTTGGACGATCCACCAGGTGTCAGACACCACCGCCTGGTCGTCACGACGCGAACCTGCCCCAACTGTGAGGGATCCCCTGGGGCCGCCCCCGGTGCGCTCTGCACGCAAGGGACTTGGCATCGCTCGGACGTGTGCATTTTTCCTTCGGCGAGGGCCATCGAGGAGCATCCTTGATCATCTGGCGAAGAAAACACGCACGAAACCGAAAAAACACAGGGAATGGACGTCCGAGCGATGGCGAGGGGAAGGGTGTGCGGAGACGGGATACGGGCGCCGACCCGAGGCGTTTGGGTCCGCGCAGACCTCCCGAAGTTGCCCAAACAGCTTCTGTCTGTGAAGGCTCTGCCTCTCTTCCCACTCCCGGTGGTGGCTGCCAGGCTCCCGACATCGGTGGCCCGTCGTGGCTCCCCCCCACTGTGATTCCTGGGCTCACGCCGCACCGCCGACCCCCCCACCCCTCTCCGAATCGCGGACCCGACTCCCCCGGGGGGACGGGCTCGGGGAGGGCGCAGCATCTCGCACGCCGCTGAACCCCGAGGGGTCGGCGGATCCGTGTGAGGCTGTTCGGGGTCTTCTGCGCAGCCGCAGAGGCAGCGTTCGTGCTTGTGCGGCGCCTCCTCTCCCGGTGCCCCTTCTGCGTGCTCCCGCATCCGGCCTCGGGCCGCAGGCTCCTCTGCTCGCTTCCCTCCAGCGTTTCACTGGCCTCGCCGGCCACAGCAGTTCCAGACGGAGGAGGAACAGAGCAGCATGCAGTTTTCCGCGGCAGCGGATACTTGTCCCAGGGTGGCTGGGATTACGCGCATGCTTCGCCATGAAAGCATCAGTGTTCCAGTCGCCTTGGGACAGGCATCTCCCCAAGTGCACAACTTCATGTTACATTGTTCTTCGTCCGCTGAAGTTCGTCCAGACCGCCGGATTTAGGACACGGCTGCCTCCCCCGTCTAATGCCGCAGGAGGCACTGCCTATGATGGGACTTCATCGCCCACATCATCATGCTCCCGTCATCGCTGTTGTCGGCTTGGGGGCCTACCGCGATTTTAGTCTCCCGGGCGGTGCTCCCCTCCTCCCCTCCTCGGCCTCCTCCCCTCCTCGGCCTCCAGTGAAAGGGTGCAGGGGAGAGCGGGATATTTTGGCCACGCCTCCGCTCGAAGGCATGCTTCAGATATACGCTGAATGCATGCGAACGCCTGGCGGGATATTTTGGCCACGCCTCCGCTCGAAGGCATACCACTCTTCACAGAGCGCCGCCGCATGCCTGCATTCTCCGCAGCCTTTGGCTTAGAGAAGGCGGCGCGCCCGCCGAACTGTCGACAGAGATTGAGGCGAGACCAGTCAAAGTTCAGCACATCTCAGCATGGTTATGATGACGATCATTTCTCTTGTGCGTGCTGCCTGGCCGTTCGGCCGCAAGGAGGAGGAGAGCACCAGAGGTCTTTCGACTCTGGTAGCGGAGCCGGTTGGCTCTGCAGGGTCGGCTGCAGTTCCGGCCGGCTCTGCGTGCGACGCGGGCGGCGAGAGGCCGCAGCGTGGCGACCACGGCAATGGGGTGGAGTCGAGCTCAAGGCGTTGTACCTGCTGTGCGACGACCGCTCCATGTGCGGCCTGCCCCGTGCAGGCCACGACATCATCAAGTACTGGATGCTCTTCCTCTTCGACGAGTTCGACGCCGAGCAAGATCGTGTTGCTCATCGGTCTCCTCGGCATCCTGATCAACGTAGCGAGCTCGGCGGAACCCCTGGGCTTCAGGCCCATGACGCCGCAGCGCGGCCAGCGCATCGGCGAGTCGCGGCTGCCGGCGCCGCAGTGGGGCCAACCCCACGAGCAGAACGTGCAGGGCCTGCCGGCGGCGGAGCTGGCCCAGCAGAGCACGTCGAAGGTCCCGCCGTTCTGGGCGCCGTACCTTGAGCAGCGCGGGTACCCCTTCAGGCTGTGGGTCCAGGACGTGATGCTGTGGTGCGCGGCGACGGAGCTGCAGCAGCACCAGCGCGGCCCGGCGATCGTCCAGCGGCTCGGCGGCACGGCGAGGGACCTCTGCCGCGAAGTGCCGGTCGAGGCCATTGCGCACGGCAGGTTCGACCAGCTGGGCAACCTGGTCGAGGACGGAGTGCAGATGCTGATCACTGGGCTCCGGCGGCGCTTTGGCCCGCTCGACGTCCAGTCGTCGATCAGCACCATCGTCGAGCTGCTCACCTTCCGCAGGCAGGAGCGGGAGAGCGTCGACGACGCGATCACGCGCTTCGAGGCGCTGCGCGCCCGAGTGGCGCAGCTGGACGACCCGTTCGTGCTGCCGACGCCGGTGCTCGCACTGCTGTTTCTGGAGGCCCTGCATGTGCCCAAGGCTGTGTACCCCTTGGTGCTGCAGGCCAACAGCGGCCAGCTGCCACTGACGCTCGATCAGCTGAACAGCGTGATCGGGATGGTGCGGCAGCAGGGCCACTTCGCAGAGCACACCCACGCGGGACCTCAGAACTTGGCTGAAGGGTACCGCGGCAAAGGATATCATGGTCATCATTGGTTTACGGGCGAGAGCGACAGCGGCGCAAACACCTGGAACGACACGGCCGCTTATATGTATGGTCAGAACGCAGCCGGCGCGGCAGGGAGCGCTGGATCTACGTCCCAGCACTACGTGGTCCAGGACGACGAGGGCTACGACTGCTGCGCCGTCTGCTCGAGCTACCTGTACGAGGACGAGCCCGGGGACGAGGACTCGATGACCGACGACGACGACTTGGACATTTCCCAGTTCACTCAGGAGGAGCTGCAGGAGTATTATGGCGACTCCGAGGGCTGGGACTACGACACCCTGCTAAATGAGTACCTGTTCGCGAAGCGCAGGTTTCGCCACTTCGTCCAACGGAACAGCCGCCGCTCTCGCTTCCCGCACAGCAACTGGTCCCTCCGCATGAGCAGCGGCAAGGGCGGCAGCAGCTTTGGACGCGGGCGAGGCCACGGCAAGGGATACCACTTCGGCGGATCGGTGGTGAACCCAGGCTCGCTGGCGGGAGGAAAAGGCAAGAAGAAGAAGGGCGGCAAGCACTACATGGCAGGCACGCCCGGCGCCACCAATCCCCGAGGCAGGGACGGCCGCACCATGCGGTGTCACGAGTGCGACTCGGAGACCCACCTCGTGGCCGCCTGCCCCAAGCGCAAGGGCAGGGCAAGGGCAAGCACTTCATGTCCTGGAACGCTGGCAGCGCCGCGACGGGGACGCAGCAGGCCGGGGCTCCCGCCGCCGACCCAACGTTGGCCGCCTATGCGCCCGTGCCCACGCAGCCGCGGACTGGAGCCTTGTCTGGAGTGCTGCATTGGTTCATTGAGGACGCCCGGACGCCTGGCCTGCAGATCGACGACCTTGACGAGGACACCTTCCGCGAGGCTCTGAGCTGGGAGACCCTCGACATGCGCGACAACGTCGCGGAGCACGACATACTGACGGAGATCCAGGCCAGCATGCAGGACCGAGCTGTGGAGGAGCAGCCTCCGGTGACAGCTGGGCGATCAGCGGCCGTGACCAGCCCAACATGGTTCCCATGGTGGCGAGTGGATCAGTTCGAGAACGCTGGCGGGGAGACCTACTTGGTTCGCACCCGCATGAAGGACAGGAGCGGCGAGGCCCTGCTGGTGGACCCCGGGAGCCCAGGCAACCTTACTGGCGACGAGTGGGGCAACAGGATGGCAGCGCGACAGCAGCAGGCAGGACGTCCACCGCCTGTTCGCACCCCACTTGACCGGGTGCTTGAGGTTGGTGGTGTGGGCTCAGGATCTCAGCAGGCCACGCACGCCCATCGCTATCAACTGGCGCTGCAGGGAGGGCAAGCCGCGACCTACGAGGCGCCGGTGCTCCCGAACAGCAGCGTGCCGGCACTGCTCGGGCGAGCATCGCTGCGGGACCAGCGCATCCTGCTCGACTGCTTCAACAATCGGATGTACCGCATCGGCCCGGGCGGCTACTCCCTGCAGCTGAGTCCAGGATCATCGCAGTACCATCTGGAAGAGAGCCACGCCGGTCATCTCATGCTGCCCTGCGACCTCTACGACGAGACGGGCACATCGGGGAGTTCGGGACCCACGAGGACGATGGCATTGGCGACTTCGACGACATCCGGTCCGACGTCCTTGCCCGCAGCGACCGCACCGACTCCCGCATCTACCAGGACGGCGAGCAAGAAGACCACCACTGCGACGCCAACCGGCAGCGGCGCCGCAGCAGACAGCGCCAGCGGGCAGCCCGACGCGGGCAGCCTGCACCTCTGATCGAAGACACCCCATCTCGGTGCTCGGGACGGCGGGGGCACCTGGGAAGTACAGGGGAGACCGCAATCGGCATGGGTGTTCGGCGACTTGCAGAACCTGTGCCAGAATGCGCTGCACGGATGCGGATATGCGGCTGGTCGCAACTGTGATGTTCACAGATTCCTCGGGCAGGAGGATAAGTGGGCGGATTCCCTGCGCCACCAGCAGCCGGAGCTCGTTTGGATCAGCCTGGCTCAGCCGGGCACGTCGCGAGGCACCCGCAACGACAAGCGAGCCAAGCGTTTCGAGTGCAAGATCGCTCGAGCTCAACTTGAAGGGCATCGCTGCTGCATCGTCGAGGCGGACGAGGGCAGCGCGGCGTGGGACATGCCCGACATCCTGGAACTGCTGGACGACAGGAGGTGGCACGCAGGACGACTAAGATGGTGCAATCTCGGTGTGCGCGATGCTCGAGGATCACCAGCAGCGCAGACTACGCGCATCGTCAGCAGCAGCTACTTCGACGACCACGACGCGAAGTGTCGCTGCGGCTGGCCAGCAGGCCGACATGTTACACGGAAGACTGCTGCAGATCGGTTGGACTTCAAGGCCAGAGGGGTATCTGCTCTGGTCAAGCGGATGGTGGCCGCTGGTTGCTTCGACGGCGGCGCGAGATCCGACGCAGCCGACGGATTGTCGCCATCTGCGACAGCTACATCACGCCGTGAGGCCGGGGGTGATTCCCGACCCGGGTCGTCAAGGACGGATCCGACGACTACCGGGCCTCCAGGATCTCGGACAGCGGCCTTGAGAGAAGCCGACGAGGAGCAGTCACGAGGTGAGCGACGTCGACCTGGCCGAGTATCATTCGCGGACGACGTCGACGAGACCGGCTGCAAGGTGAGCGCGCTGACCGCGAGTTTTCCCACCGAGCAGAGGACGCGCGACAAGGCGCGCAAGGCAGCAGACCCGGAGCGCAAGGTGAAGAAGAGGCCACAGACAGTGGAGCAGGTCTTCGACGATTGCGGCTCCGATTTCACGAAACTCTACGTGGCGAACGAGTACGAGCTGGACGAGGTGTGCTACGGCACCGAGCTCAGGGAGGACCAGTACATCGACGAGCAGCCGTACATCATGATGTCCGAGTTCTTTGGCATGATCGGCTCGGAGGCGCACCTGAACGAGAAAGACGAGCAGCAGAACTTCTTCAGCTCAGTCAAGGATATGGACACATACATGAACCTCTACTACGGCCACCTGCAGCACGACGACGTCGCGGAGTTGTGCAGTGGCGCATCTGGAACAACCCGGTTACTCGTGCGACGAGGATATCGGGGCGGTCCCAACTTCGACCTCATTTGCGACTGCAACTTGATGACGCACGAGGGCCAGAGGCAGTTTTGGGAATATCTGTATCATCGCAAGCCTCTTGTCTTACTTACTAGCACGCCCTGCACGAGCTTGAAAGGGTTTTCGGCGCTCAACAGGGTCATCAACTACGACGGTTGGCTCCGCAGTCGCAAGACATCAGTGGGGCTGGCCCGCATCGCCGCTGCAGCGGCGTGCACTCAGATGGACGCCGGCCGCCACTTTGCTTCGGAGCAGCCGCTGGGCAGCGACTTCTACAAGCTCGACGACTGGCAATACATCGCCAACAACTACGCGGTGGTGTGGTGCCAAGTCGACCAGTGCATGGCCGGCAAGATCGGGCGGCGAACGGGACTCCCGACCAAGAAGTCCTCTGAGTTCTGGGCTTCGGACGAGCGCCTGATCGCCGGACTCAGGAAGTTTCGCTGCGACGGCCAGCACGATCACGCTTTGCTGGCCCATGGTGGCCGAGGACCCCATCCAGAGCGTGACAAGTGGCGACTAGAGAACCCCAAGGATCACGCGGAGTGGGCGATTGGCATCTGCCTGGAGCTGGCAGCGAGCATTTCCCAGATGGTGGAGCGCGTGAGGTATCAGGGACACCACCTCGTTGTGTACGAGTGCTACCCCACGGCTGCTGTGCAATCCAGACCAGCTGGCTCCTCTGCTTCCTCGGCGCCTGCGGCCGCAGCACCAGCCTCTGGAGCAGCAGCAGCCGCAGCACCAGCCTCTGGAGCGGCAGCAGCCGCAGCACCAGCCTCTGGAGCAGCAGCAGCGGCAGCACCAGCTTCAGGAGCAGCAGCAGCGGTAGCACCAGCAGCAGCATCAGCAGCAGGAGTACCGCGCGCTGTGCAGCCGTGCGCAGGATGTCGGCATCATCGGCCGGCTGACCATCCATCCCACGATCGAGGGGAGACATGCAAGCATAAATTTGTGCCGACGAATCACGACCTGAAGTGCCCGGCGTGCCGGAGTGGTCGCGCGGCCTCAGACACACGACATACCCGAATACCTGGAGAATGCCGAGCAGACAGTGTTCTCCCAAGAGCAGTTGGACCTCGAGAGCTACGACCGAGACAACCACCAGCCTCCGAGGAGCCGACGGCGAATCAGGCACCGAGCGCCGCGCGAGCCGAAGCGCCAGATGCCGAACCTGAACCGCCACCGCCTCCACCTGCGCCTGCGGAGCGTCGACCTCGAGTGGCTCGAGCGACAGCGGCGGCACGGCGACTGCGATCGCGTCTGCCAGCAGCTGGAGAGGCGGAGCCGGACGAGGCATCAGGTGGCGCCTCGGGATCGGCGGACGCCATCGGCGAGGCACCCGTCGCGGAGCAGCCGGCTGCGGCCCCAGCCGCACGAGCCCGAGGCGTGGATGCGGGGACGCAGGCTCGAGGCAGTGACGAGCCAGGCTGGACCGCGTTTGACCTCGGGCACGCGCTTCGACTGCTGCACAGCCCACACCATGAAGTCGTTCGGCGCCAGCTTCGACGACTTCATGTTCGATTTTGGCACGCTCCAGCAACTCGCCTCAGAGAGCTGCTGACCAAGGCCGGCGCTCCTGCATCTACGCTGGCCCTGGTGAAGGAGATCTGCGACACGTGCCGGGTGTGCAGGCTATGGACGAGACCGGGACCGAAGAGCATGACGATCTCTCGGCTCGCGACGGGCTTCAACGAGATGGTGCAGTGGGACATCCTCTACATCGGCGAGCAGATGGTGGCCCACATGATCGATGAGGCGACACGCTGGACAGTGCTTCACATTCTGGACCGCAAGACAGCGATCATGATTATCGCCGGCATCACCCAGGGATGGCTACGACCTCATGGCCCCATGAAGCTGCTGATTGCCGACATCGAGGGCGGCCTCCATGGCGAGGAGGCGTACCAGTGGCTGGACCGCTGGGGCATCGAGATGAAGGCCAAAGAGGAGGGCTCGCACGCGCAGCTGGTGGAACGCCATCACGATTTGGTGCGCAAGATCATACACCGTGTGCAGGCCCAGCTTGCGGAAGAAGGCATTGTGATGCCGTTGGAGATCGTGATTATGGAGTGTGCCCTCATCAAGAACCTCCTCATCACCGTGGCTGGCTACAGCCCCTACCAGGCGGTGCACGGCCGGCTTCCGCCCCTGCTCGCCGAGTTCGAGCCGGTGAGCGACTGCCAGATTGACGACCAGTCGGCTGGCATCCCAGGGATCTCCCGACACCATCATCGGCTACGCGAAGTTGCAATGCAAGCCATGGTGGAGATGACCGCGAAGGACAGGCTGAGGCGCGCGCTTCGATCCAAGACGCGCGCCCCGCACGAGGCGCCGCAGCTGGTGGTCGGCGACCAGGTTGACTTTCACCGACCGCCGAGCACGAAGGAGGAGTCGGGGTGGCGCGGCCCAGCGACCTTGCTGCAGGTCGGACCTCCAGTGCTCATTCGATGGCAGGGACGAGTGTTTCAAGTACGACCTCAGGACCTTCGGCGAAGCCTCGTGTACATCGTGATGTTCACGAATAACATCTTCTTCGAGGCAGGATCGCGCGACCCGGTGGCCACCATCATGAGCTACGCGGACCAGCTGGACAGCAAGGTCGTGCGCGTCGGGTGGCTCTTTGACGCCGGGTGGAAGCGGACCGCGGACAGCCAGAAGCTCAGCGAGTTGGTCCTGGCGGTGTTGCATGTTGCCGCCAGTGGCTTCTATCTGGTGGGCTGCATCGGCGCTCGAGTGGGCAATGGCGTGTCCGTGCTCGAAGGAATGGTCGGATGCGACCACAGCTTCCTATGGTGGTGGCGGCGCGGACGCCCAGAGCTGTCCTGGTACCACGAGGCGTCGGGTTCTGCTCGATTGAAGTTGGCTCCGATATTTGGCAAGGAACACTGGCGGGACGTTAGCTTCGTGCAGTTCATCATGACGGACGACGAGTCTGTTCGTGAACTTCGGCGACGTGAACCCGAGGTTCCGCATCTTGGGGGTCCATGGTTCGGCAACCTTCCGCACGCGCGACGGTACGAGCAGCCAGAGCGACCCGAACCTGGACCGTTTCAGGACCCTCCGGAGCTTCAAGAGGAAGACTTCGACATGCCCTGGCAGGACAGGCCGATATCCGACACGAGCATCCCAAGTTCATCTAGACAGACGAGTGCATCAATGCCAGTGCCCGACACGAGCATATCGAGCGCATCCAGGCAGACGAGTGCAGCATCGGACGTTACGAGGAGTCGGAGCAACCGAGGGCAACATCGACCACGAGGGCCTTCTCCTGCTCCGGCCGTCGCCGACAACGCCGTGCCGCCTGTGAGGCCGCCGGTGAAGCCAGGCGGGGGTGCTCGAGAGAGATCGCGCTCACGTGATGGCCCGGATCGTGATCATGGAGCCCGAGGTTCAGGTGAACCAGCGGCGGCAGCTGGGGCTCCTGCACCCCTGCATGAGCCAGTGCTCCCGATCAAAGATGATGGTGGCGAAGACGACGACGGCGACTCGGACAGCGACGCGACCCAGGAGCACTCGTTCGCGATCTGGCAGCACATGAGGGAGCAGGCCGCACTGCCTGCTGTTGACACCGAGTGCGCTCAGAGCGACTTCTTCTTCGCAGCCCCGGACGCAGATCACGTGGCGGAGGCAGTAGAGGATGATTCTTCGAATTCCCGACCCGACTGCGTCGAGATCGGCATAGGTGCGCCGCTCATGTACTGGGTGTACCCTGAGGTGGAGCACACACGACGCCCTGGAGCAGGTGAGACCTACGTCCTGCGCGTCTACAACACGGGCAAGCGCGAGATCGTCGTCGAGCGCGAGATGAACGTGCTCACGCTGGAAGAGGCCCGAGCTCACGAAGTCGAAGTACGTCAGGCCATGAAGGACGAGCTCCAGCGCTGGGCAGAGTTGAAGGCATTCCAGCGCTTCCCGAAGGACCAGGCGACCAACATCATCGACTCGCGCTGGGTGCTCAAGTGGAAGGAGATCGACGGCAAGAAGCAGGTGCGCGCGAGGCTCACGGTGAGAGGCTTCAAGGATATGCAGTCACCTGAGCTGTCCACCTTTGCGGGTACTACGACACGATGGGGCCAACGACTGGTGAACCAGGTGACGGCACAGCGCAAGTGGCGATTATTCTCAGCGGACATCAGCCAGGCGTTCTTGCGCGGCCTCACCTTCGAGCAGGTCGCCGCCATGGACGGCGAGGTGAAGCGGAAGGTGCAGTTCACGATGCCGCCAGGATCGATTCCAGTCCTCCGGCAGCTGGAGGGCTACGAGGACTACAACCCTGTGACAGAGGTGTTGTTGCTCCTGCGCTGCGGTTTCGGCCTGAAGGACGCGCCGAGGCTGTGGCAGGTTATGTTGAAGCAAGTGCTGGAGAAGACAGGGGGCAAGGCGCTCATCAGCGACCCGCAGATCTACGTGTGCCACGACGCTAAGGGCGAGTTGCAGATGATCATGTCCTCGCACGTGGACGACCTGAAGGGCGGCGGCGAGGGCCACCTGCGGGAAAAAGTGCTGAGCATGATAGAGAGCGAGTTTGGGAAGTTGAAGCGCCAGTACGACTGCTTTGAGTGCATCGGCATCATGCACGAGCAGGACCCTGTGACCAAGGCCATCTGGACGCATCAGCAGCACTACGTTCAGCAGCTGCGACCGCTCCAGGAGGACCAGTACGTGATGGAGAACGAAGATGGCCAGGTGAGCGTGGAGAGCCACGCGGCGTACATGTCGCTGCTCGGAGGAATTGCATGGATGACGCAGACGATGGCGCCAATCGCAGTGTATGTCAGCTACCTCCAGCGGCAGGCCAAGAAGCCGGCGGTCGGAGACATCCGGAAGATCAACCGGCTGCTGAAGTGGATCATGGTGAACGCGAAGCAGCTCGGAGTTCGGTTCATCGAGTTGGACATGACCCGAGTGCGGCTGGCCGTCGTCAGCGACTCAGCCTTCCGCGCCATGGAGTTCGAAGGCTTGGCGATCCGAGGCTGTGTGATCATGTTGCTGGAGGCTGACGACGAGTTGCTTCAAACTGGAACGACGTACAGGATCGTGATGCTTGACTGGTACAGTCGAAAGCAGAACAACGTGGTCAGGTCCACCTACGCCGCGGAGCTCATGGCGTTGTTGGACGCGCTCGGGACCGGCACTCTCATGAATGTGGCGATGACCGAGATCAGTGAAGGAGTATGCACGGCGAACCAGATGCGAGTGCGGCAGGAGGCTGGCGACCTGGTGTTGAAGATGATTGCTGCCATTGACGCGAAGGCAGTTTTCGACGCCATCTCCGCCGACACCATCAAGGTCACCACGGACAAGCGGATGTTCGTGCCGACGCTCGCAGCACGTGAGCAGATAGACCGCCTGCAGCTGGCGCAGCTCAGCTGGATCGACACCTTGGACATGCTGGCGGACGGGCTGACGAAAGGCGAGCTCGACCGGACAGCACTCGTGAAGTTGGGCTTCAGCAGCGAGTGGCACTTGAGCGGGCTGCAGCCGGTTGCCTTCTCTGTGCGCAGTGTGCTGTAGTGCCGCGCAGAGCGCTAGAATTCCCGACCCGAGCGAAAGGGTGCAGGGGAGAGCGGGATATTTTGGCCACGCCTCCGCTCGAAGGCATGCTTCAGATATACGCTGACTGCATGCGAACGCCTGGCGGGATATTTTGGCCACGCCTCCGCTCGAAGGCATACCACTCTTCACAGAGCGCCGCCGCATGCCTGCATTCTCCGCAGCCTTTGGCTTAGAGAAGGCGGCGCGCCCGCCGAACTGTCGACAGAGATTGAGGCGAGACCAGTTAAAGTTCAGCACATCTCAGCATGGTTATGATGACGATCATTTCTCTTGTGCGTGCTGCCTGGCCGTTCGGCCGCAAGGAGGAGGAGAGCACCAGAGGTCTTTCGACTCCTCCTCCCCTGCTCGCTCCTCCCCTCCTCGGCCTCCTTGTCTGTCCTTCCCCTCCCTTCTCCTCCCCTCTCCTCCCTCCCCTCGCGAGCCAGGCACGCGCAGCATTGCGCGGCTGGCACGCGCAGCCCCCCTGAGGTCTCCGAGGTTGCACCCTGGCAGTCTGGCCATGGCGTCCTGCGGGGATCCGTCGCGAGCAGACGATGATGCCATGGGGTAGTATGCAACCTGGGCGATACTGCCTACAGCATGCCGATCCTTGATTGATCGGCATGCTGAGACCCCTCAAGACATGAGCATTCGTGTGGAGGAGCGGCGGAGGATGGAGGGCAGAGGGAGGAGGGCGAGGGAGGAGGGAAGAGGAACGAGAAGGGTGCGGGGGAGGCAGAAGCTTGGGGAGGAGGCAGGAGGAGGAGGAGGAGGAGGAGGGATGCCTAACCATGAGGAGAGAGGACACTGGTTGTGGGTGAGAGAAGGGAAGGGGAAAAAGGGGGAAACGTACAGGGTAGTGAGTAGTCCTGTAGAGCAGGAAGAGGAGGAGGAAGAAGAGGAGGAGGAGGATGAAAAAGAGGAGGAGGAGGAGGAGGAGGAGGAGGAGGAGGAGGAGGAGGGGGAAAGAAGAGGAGGAAGATGGAGGAGGAATGCGGGAGGAGGGAGGAAAGAGGAGGAACGAAGAGGGCGGAAGGGTTCCGGAGCAAGGTCCATGAGCGAAGACATAGCAATAAGAAAGGCAGGAGGGAAGAGGAAACAGGCGGCAGGAAGCAGGGCGCTGCCTGACATCGACTCGTCCTGTTAAGCTTGCATGGTAGCGGAGCGAGACGGCAGCGATACCAGGTCAAGCGATACCCTCCACGAGACAAGGCTGGGTTGAGTCCAATCTCGTGAACGTTGGAGTCACCTGCCGAACCGCGTACAATCAAGGCGACTACGGCTTTACCAGCGCAGCACTGCAAGCCAACCATGACGCTATGACCAGTTACGCTTATGAGCAAGATCCAACAGGTAGCCACAAATTACCGAGCGAGCATGCTATGCCAATGATGCGGATGCTTGACAAGCCGAGCGCATCTTTGGTGAGCATCCTCTACCGCGAGAACAAGCACGAAGCGGAAACGACGGTTGTCAAGAATTGGGTTGCAGAACTGGAGCGTTTTATTGAGGAGGAGTTGAGCATGAATGAATTATTAACCCAACTGGCTGAGGAATTGGGAGCAGGGCAAAGATAATTCAACCCAGGACCCCATCGGCGAGTTGAAGGCAATCCAGTTAAGAAGATTCAGCGGGGTCACAGCCAAGGTTCGAGAGTGGAGCGATCGATTCCTGAACGCCCTAGCACAGGTCAAAAACGGTAGCCGCAAGACATTCAAATTGGTAAACGCCAAGCTGGGAAGCATTGGCGGAGCCGTACCGGACTCAAGCGAAAAAAACTGCAAAATCAGGCTCATAAGCGGTAAACCAACGGCAGTTGAGTATAACAAATCATCTGCCGAGAAACCAAGACAAGAGGATGAGGCAGATTCTGAGTATGTATTGGACGAGGACGAGATTAGTAATTTGGATAAGGACATGCTGTGAGTCTTCAAGGAGAAGCTCGAGCGCTCAGAAGCACAATGCAAACCACATGGGTTAAAGGAAAACGATGGGCTGGTTGCATGCGTGAGAACTTACACATGGTCTTCAGCCCTAACAGGTGAGATCTTGCCAGCCAAGGTGAGTCCAACCATGTCCAGCTCGGTACAACTGGAACAATAGAACGCCCTAGTGGGAAATCGCGAGAAATACAGGACCTCATACGCGTTGCCTTCGTCATTCGCGTCCACGGCCCTCAAGATAATCATGGCCCATGCTTGCGAGTGATACGACGACTGGCAGCAGGAATGTGCAAGACGCCCGAATCACGAACCGACGCATTTTATCAGGAACTGCAACAGGAAGATCCAGGAAGAACCCTGCCGTAATTAAAGCAATATTTTTGCGCGGTGTTGCCGAGCGATTGATTCGCCCAGTCAAAACCACGTCTTGCATAATGTCGCGATGGCAAAGCCTTCACCGGCGCCAGCTATAGGCCCGCATTTTACTTGTTAAGTCAGGTCTGGGCAACGCGTTCAATTCGCATTCGCAGCGCGTGCGTAATTGATTCGGCCAATAGTGGCCGAGGGGGGGTGTTTTTACATAGGCTTCCATGGCCTTGTTCGCGCTGCCTATCTGGCTCGAGTGTTTGTAACTGCCGAGGGGCGGTACCGTAAGAGACTGCGTTCGTGCGTTCGCTACCTTTCCTTCTCATGAAGAGAGAGCGTCGTCTCGCCTCGAGCCGCCCTGTTCAATTATGTTCAGTTTGCAAAAGGAAGGGGAAACTTAAGTAGAAGGAAGACGCATGAAGGAACGCCGGGGCGAGGAGGAGGGAGGAGGTGGCGAAGGATTGTTTTGGATTCGATGCAACGCACAGCATGCTGCTGAGGAGGAGAGGGGACAGAGAGAAACGCTGCACCCGCGGAGGCTGCCCGACGGCAGCCCCCCCCGACCTTCCGGCCCCTCCGCGCGGAGGATGACGAGGGGCCGCCGAGAAAGACGGGGGGGGGGTGCCGCGGGCGCCCTTTCCACGCGCTGCGCCGCCTCGGCGGGCAAGGCTGCGGTCGCGCGCGAGTGGGCGATCGCCAAGGCCGTCCTGGGGTCGCCTGCTTAGGGCGGGTGTGACCCTCGCGCATGCGGGCCAGATTCCCCAACCAAGTGACGACCGTCGCCCGAGGCCGCGCGGCCGCAGCGCAAACACACATGCAAGTCATGACGGCCCCAGTGGGCCAGGCGGTAGGACTCATGGAGCATCGAGTCCCGAACCGAAATTGGCCCACGGACCGACAGGACCACGTCCTTGGGAGAACCCTCAAGGCCACTGTCGACGCATTCCGTTTTCAAAATTTCCAAGAGCGGTTCCCGAGCGGACAACGCTCCGCATTTCCCACACCGAAAAGACGACCCAACAGGATCGAAGGTGTGAGGGGAGCTCCTGGCGTCGATTTTTGATTCGGAGGCGCGCTTCGGCCGCTCGGGGGCGACAGCTTTGCCTGAGGGCTCCTTCTTGGGAGCGGCGGTCGCTGCCTCCCGTAGAGCTCGGGCGCTAGATACAGGGGCCGCACTCGCGGAGCAACTTCGCCTGCAGCTTCGTCCGCGCAGCGGTTCCCTGGCGCAGGGAACCTCTGGAGGCTGGCGAGGGCAGGGCCAGCCCCATGTAAATGAGATGTAAATGAGACGCAGTCCAGACGACCGAAACCGATCCCAAACCCTGAGATTCGAGGGCAGAGCGAATTCGAAGCCAGAGGTCGCTGTTGGACCTCTTGGTGTTTCGCACCCGCCTGCCCTCCCACCCCACCAGTAACAGCTTGTGGTCAGACACATACACTACAGCTCCACGCGTATTTTCCAGACGCAGCGCGAATGCAAAGAGCTCCGCTCGGGGAGCGGTTTGGAGACGGCCAGGGGGGATGTCCGAGAGGCCTCCTAAAAGAAGGTGCTCACTTGGGCCTCCACCAGGGGCCCTGCGAAGCACCGCGGCCGCGGACCCACGGCGTCTTCGGCGGGGATTCGCCGAAAACTTCCCTCCATTACCGTCCCCGAAACAAAAACGTGCATGACTCGGAAGGGTCTTCAGGAAAACATTCCAAAAGCGAGAGCGCGCCTACTTTCACCCTAAACAGATCACCCCTCGGATAAAGCAACCAGGGCTAGTTTCCCAGCCCGCAAAGGCCTGAGGAACCAGATGCTAAGAGACCTCAAAGTCCTTGTGCCCCTGATAATACATTTACAGTGCCACACTCGATGAAGCAAGGTCTCCGCGTTCTCCGGACATCTGGGACACTTCCGTTTCTCCTCAGGGCCGAGCGGGAATGGTCGTGCTCCAGGCCATTGCATTCGCGTGGCCACGCACGCTTGGCGGCCATAGAAGTCGCACTCCCCACGACGAGAAAAGCGTTGAAGTTCCTGGCGTGCCCAGAACAAATCTCCTCCAGCATGCAGGTCTTCTCCATGCGCGTGATGGGAAACCTGCGGCCAGAGAATCTGAGACAAATCGTGCGCCACACCATCCAGCATTCCAGTCGCGTCAAACGCACATAAATTCACCACCAGAATCTGAGGAACCGTTGAAGTAGGAATGCTCCAATTCTACCAGGCACCACCGTAAAGCCGTTGCCAAAGGGCAGGTGAATCCACCCTCCAGCCAGCATCCATGAGCGCGTCGCGTCCATCACAGCAGAGATTGGCCCTTTGACCAGCGACCACCTCCTCTCCCCAGCTGCCAGCAGACGCGCAGCAATCGGTGGCCGCGTTTTCTCCGCTCGTTTGTGACTTGATGGGTCAGTCCGCCACAGACACAGAAACTCAGCAATGAGCCCGCTGCGTCGTTGAATGCCTGGGTCCTTGGCACCATAAACCAACCCCAAGGCTGAAGTAAGACAACGCTCCTTGACGGGGCCAATAGCTGAATTCGCAGCCTGACGACGAACCAAGGTGATGTTAGAAGGGGCCAAGCCTTGATCCTCATGGCCATGTGAGCTCTGGGGGAGGGAGCCTGTGGCCCACAACCCTTGGGCACCTCTGCGAAGGGCTGCATACCTGTGAAGCCTGGTGATGCGCCCCTCTCTCTTAGCCCCCGCTTGTAGACGCTGTCGCGATGTGCGAACTTTGCGCCGCTTGCCTGCAGTGACATCCACTCCCAGGCCGATCCCATGAGCGCGCAACTTCACAGGGGTACCGCGACGACGTAGAAGGTGGGTAGCCTCGCGACCTGGCTTGAGGTCCGAGGCGATAATCGGTAATTGCTGATTGATCGGAGACAGCCAACTGGAGCGAAACCGACAGCTCCGACAAGACAGTGGTAGCATCAAGTAGTTGATGCTGAACTGAATGCGCAGGACCTTCGCACCTGGAGACGGCGTCGTTGATGAACGTCCAGGACGTAGCAAACGAGGTTCTGGGGTGTGCCGCTGTCAGCAGCGGGTGCAAGAAGAAACCGGCTAGCCGAACTCCATGAGGAGACCTTGCGAACAACGATTTCGTGGCCAATATCGGCTGAGCCGCGCCCAGGGCACGCCATATGCAATGATCGAGCAGTTTCGAAGCGACTTGGCGTACTTATAGGCCCACCGAATCATGTTCTAAGGACCTGTTGTGGTCTGCACGAAATATATTCTCAGAACATTTCTGGCTGAGACTGTCCTGTTTTAACACATCGGGTGTATGCTCTAAGATATGTTCCTCATTCTCGTAACATATTTGGATCACAGCGACGTTTCGTGGTAGTCCTACAGGAACTCTGGGACGGTCGGTCCCTGCGCACACGGGATGTGTTGCATTGCAGCCTTCGCAGACCTGCTTCCAGCCACACGTTTCTTCCAGACGCACCAAGGCCACGGATCCTCGACCCTCCAGGCGTGCCGCTCGAGGGAGCCGCGACGACAGTGGCGGCCCGCGCACCGCGCGGGCTAGCTAGGGGTGTCCCCGAGGGGGAGGCCCCGCGAGACCTCCGAGGGCCCTCCAGCCAGTGGAGATCGACCCCACACGCCGTCGACCTCGCCGACGACGACGACGACGACGACGATGACGACGACGACGACGACGACGACGACGACGACGACGATCTTGGAGGTCTCTGAGCCTCGACGACGATGACGACGGCGACGACGACGACGACGACGACTGCGGCGGCGACGGCGACGGCGACGGAGACGACGGCGACGGCGACGGCGACGGCGACGGCGACGGCGACTGCGACGGCGACGAGATGGCCGCCATTCTGAATTTTTTGTGAGCCTCCGGGTAGTCGCGAGGGTAGCGCGGAATGCCCCCGAGACCGACGACGACGAGGAGGCGACGACGTCCCCCCGTGCAGCGCGGAATGCCCCCGAGGAGGCCGCCGCGGGGCCCGCGCGCGTGGGCGGCTGGGGCCCTCCGCGGCCAGCCGGCCGTCTGCGGCGGGGGGGGCCGCGCATGTCGTCCGCCCCGGGGAGCCCGAGCGCGGCCGCGGGCGCGGAGGCGGGCGGGGCGGGGCGGGGCGGGGCGGGGCGGGGCGGGGCGGGGCGGGGAGGAGGAGGAGGAGGAGGAGGAGGAGGAGGAGGAGGAGGAGGAGGAGGAGGAGGAGCGGAGGCGGGCGGGGTCTCGGCAGCCATGGGTCCAGGCCTCCCAGATGGGGTCCGAGTAGCAGAGGCGGTGGCAACGACGTCGACGACGACGACGACGACGACGACGGCGACGACGACGACGACGACGACGACGACGGCGACGACGACGACGAGGACGACGACGACGAGGACGACGACGACGACGACGACGTTGCCATGAAAGGCGCTCCAGAAAGAAAGGGCCTCTCCTTTGAGGGTCGACGGGGTTGGCATCTCGTCCTCGGCGGAAGGGCTGCGGAAGCCGGCGGAAGTAAAACGAGGGCGGCTCCGCAGGCGAAAGCCCGGCGGACGCCGGCGGAAGTAAATGTCGGCTTCCCAAGCGATGGCAGGGCTTTGGGGTTCAGGGCTTCCTGGATCTAGGCCTCCCAGGTGAGCGATAAACGGGGTCGTCTTCATCGGCATTGGCTCGTAAGCTTCCCGCGTAAGGTCACGCGTGAGCGCCCTCGTCTCCAATGTAGCGTGCCGCGCTGGCGGCCTGCGTAAGCCACCGCGCAAGGTCGCTGTGTCATCTCGCTGAAGGCCCTTTTCTCTTCGTCGCCCAGATGGGGTCTGAGTAGACTGGGTCGGAGGATCGCGCCATATCGCCGATGCATCGGCTATGCGGCTCGATGTGGAGCCCGGTTTCCTCATGTTTCCTCCACGCCGACGGTGCCGATGCATCGCCGATGCGTCGGCGATGTGTCGCCGATGCATCGGCGGTGCGGCGCGATCCTCCGACCCCACGGACCCCACTTAAGAAGCATCTAGAGTTGGTCCTGGGGCCAGGTCCCAGGATACAGGACCCGTTTCTCTCGGGATCCGCCCTGTTCCATTTGCAAGGGAGTCGGCAGCAGTGCTCGTGGCCGAAGAGATTCGGGCTTGGCGAGAGGGGCTTGGCATCGCTCGGACGTGTGCATTTTTTCCTTCGGCGAGGACCATCGAGGAGCATCCTTGATCATTTGGCGAAACAGCCACGCACGAAACCGAAAAAAAACACACAGAGAATGGACGTCCGAGCGATGGCGAGAGGGGGGGGGGATACGGAAAAGGGGGAGGCACGACATCTGCCGCATGCCAGGCGCGCCGGGGGCGGCGCCCGAGGCACTGCCGGGGGGGGGGGGGGGTCCAGCGCCGACCCAAGAAGTCCGCGCGGATCTGCGGGAGCGCGGAGGGGAGACGCACGTCAGTGGTCGTCGTTGTCGAAGTCTGTCGTCGTCGTCGTCGAGGGCGTCGTCCTCGTCGTCGTCGAGGGCGTCGTCCTCGTCGCCGCCAGGCGCTTTCCCTGATGCAGCGTCTCTGGCGCCGGGAGGCGCTGGGGAGATCGGCTGCGTGAGCCCGCGTACCAGCCCTCGTCTCCGTCCGACCCGAGAAGTGCTCCTGGCCCAACGTGTCCACGGGATGTCAAAGGAGATCCCCACCCACACCCTCAGAATGCTCCTCCTCCTCCTCCTCCTCCTCCTCCTCCTCCTCCTCCTCCTCCTCCTCCTCCTCCTCCTCCGTCCCTGGGATTTCAAAGGAGATCCCCACAACCTCACGAGGCCCAGAGTCCAAAGCGGGGCTCCAGAGTGCAGAGAGGGCCTGGGCGCGTTGGGTCCAGAGGGCGTCTGTAGCAGCGGCCCCCGGCGGATCGGCGATATTGGGTCCTGGAGGAGAGGAGGGCGTCTTGGAGCTTTTTGCTCGCAGTCTTCGGGCGCCCGACGGGCGACAGAACGACCCGGGATGGACAGCTCTTCTCGGGGGGCAGACAACGGCAAGAGCACAGCTTGTCGGGAGTCCGCGCGGATTTCTCGGATCTGCGCTGGGACCCCCGTTGCGACGCCCCCGGCGCCGCCTCTGGCCTCGCTCCGCCGCGACGATCTAAGAAATCCGCTCTGGCCCTGTCTTCCCAGGGAGCGTCCTGGGTGTCCAAGGACCCGCTTGGACCCTTGTCCCGCATGCTAGCGAGCCCGGGCAGGGCAGCGGGAGGGAGGAGGGAGGGAGGGAGGGGAGGAGGGAGGGAAGGAGGAGGGAGGGAGGGAGGGAGGGATGGAGGGGAGGAGGAGGAGGAGGGAGGAGGAGGAGGAGAGAGAGGAGGAGGAGGAGGAGGAGGATGAGGAGGAGGAGGAGGAGGAGGAGAGGAGAAGGAAGAGGAGCGAGGAGCGAGGCGAGGAGCGAGGAGCGAGGAGCGAGGAGCGAGGAGCGAGGAGCGAGGAGGAGGAGGAGGAGGGAGGAGGAGGAGGAGGAGGAGGAGGAGGAGGAGGAGGAGGAGGAGAGGAGGAGGAGGAGAGAAGAAGGAGGAGGGAACGAGGAGGAGAAGGAGGAGGAGGAGGAGAAGGAAAGGAGGAGGAGGAGGAGAGGAGGAGGGAGGAGGAGGTAGGAGGACCAGGAGGAAGGAGGAGGAGGAGGAGGAGGAGAGGAGGAGGAGGAGGATGAGGAGGAGGAGGAGGAGGAGGAGAGAAGAAGGAGGAGAACGAGGAGGAGGAGAGGAGGAGGAGGAGAGGAGGAGAAGGAGGAAGGAGGAGGAAAAGGAGGAGAGGAAAAGGAGGAGAGGAGGGAGGAGAGGAGGGAGGGAGGAGGAGGAGGAGGAGGAGAGGAGGAGGAGGAGGGAGGAGGAGGAGGAGGAGGGAGGGGGAGGAGGGCCGCTGCACCCAGGCGGGCGGAGCGGAAGGCGGCGCCCCTGCAGCCGCCGCGGCGCCTGCCGGGGGCAGTGCTGCCGCGGAGGAGGCCGCCGAGGAGGCGGGGCCTCCCGGGCGCCGGGCCCGCGCCGATGCCCCGGGCGCCGCTTGGGGGAGGGTTGGTCGCGGGGGCATCCACGAGAGCCACTCAGCCTCCCCTCTCTCTCTTCCCTCCTTCCCTCCCTCCCTCTCCTCCCCCTCCTCCTCCTTCCTCCTCCTCCTCTCCTCCTCTTCCTCCCCTCCTCCTCTCCCCTCCTTCCTCCCTTCCTCCTCCTCCTCCTCCTCCTCTTCCTCCTCCTCCTCCTGCTCCTCCCCCTCCCCCTCTTCCTCCTCCTCTCCCTCCTCCTCCTCCTCCTCCTCCTCCTTCTCCTCCTGTGGCCGAGCTCTTGCCCCTGAAGGCGGGAATGCTGATTTGTGGTTTCAGATAGGCCAGGTCCTACGGAGGACACCGACTCTGTCTTGCACTTTCTCTTCGTTCACTCAAACCAGGAGGCAGCAGACATCTTCGAAGGAGTATCGCCTTTGTGTCTAGCTATCCGTAACACAGCGGCTGATATATTAGCAGAGGCTGCCGCCTTGCCAGAGCTTTCCAGATTCAGAAGATGGCCTGCCATGTCCGTCTTGATATTGTATTTAGCGCCCTGGAAACTTGAAAGGCAGAGCAAGGGCTAGCTGCCGTGGAGTCCCGAGGAGCCCGTGTCAGGCACCCTGAATCCAGGCCTCCCGTTCTCTCGGCTTGTAAAATTTTCACCACCCAACATAGCCTGTCTGAAAATGGTCTGTCTTGCATCAGGTGTAGGAGCATTACGTCCAAAGCATCTCGAGTTGAGCGATTGGATTCCCAGTGCTTCGACCTGAGGACAGTAGATGGCACACTCTTAAGGCCGCCCCCAAGTTGCAGGATGCACATCTCTGGGCTCTGGGGGTGGGCTGATCACACCCATAACTTACGGTTGGTGTGGTTATGTGGGACATGTGGGATCGCAATACCCGTATCTTCGTAACTCCTCTTCTTCTTCCTCCTCCTCCTCCTCCTCCTCCTCCTCTGGTCCCCGCACGTTGCCACGTGCGCTCCAGGATATAGCGCCTGACTCTAGCCCGCGTCCAAACAAATCCTCCTCCTCCTCCTCCCTGCCTGCCTACCCGCCATCCTGCCTGCCTCACGCAGAACAACGCGCCGTTGCCGACGCCCGAGATCTCCGACGATGTGATTTCTTGAATCAGCGTTAGTTTCTTCATGTCGGCCTCTGGAGGCCGCTTTCGGGCCACTTGGTCCATCAAACTTAGATCGGGACGTGATCGTTTCCTTATTCATTGTTTTGCTGATCGGCGCGGGCTCTCGCATTCCCCCCCCCCAATGGAGTAGATCTTGGCTGATTTTGGCGCCTGCTTCGAGCAGGGGGAGTCTCCCCCACAGGACGCACTGTTGCAAACAGTCGCACTAGGCAGAGTTCCGGAGCCAGATCCCCCCCCTCCCCCCCACCTCCGCCCAATGTCGAAACGCCGAACAAGAAACCGCTCACGTTTTTGGAAGAACGTGCAGGCTTGCTTGTTTGAGGAGGCGTCATGGGGAG